CTCTCCAGAAGTTCCCTGTCCCTCTTGAACTGGGGAGCCCAGAACTGGACACAACACTCCAGATGTGGCCTCACCAGGGCAGAGTAGAGGGGGAGAAGAACCTCCCTTGACCTGCTGGCCACGCTCTTCTTAATGCCCCCCAGGAGACCATTGGCCTTCTTGGCCACAAGGACACACTGTTGGCTCATGGCCAACCTGCTGCCCACCAGCACACCCAGGTCCTTTTCCTCAGAGCTCTTCTCCAGCAAGTCAGCCCCCACCTTGTCCTGGTGCCTGTGGTTAAATACTTCAGAAGAATTCCCACCTCTGATGTTGGACAAGTGGAGCGGTGCTTCCTGCGCTCTTCTCCAGCAGGTCACCCCCAACCTGTCTGGTGCCTGTGGTTAAATACATCAGAAGAATTCACACCTCTGATGTTGGACAAGCGGAGCAGTGCTTCCTGTACCACAAGCAGCTGGAGCAGCTGCGCTTCCATCGCACGGGTGGTTTAGCAGCACTCGCTGCCTCCAAAGCTCTTTGCAAAGGACAAAAATCAACTGTATTAATCTTATTTTTTTCAAAAACCTTTTGTCACACAATGTGCAGGTGGTGAGTTATTTCCTCAAAGAGAAGTTCTCAGCTGCTTAGGTAGCAAAGCTGAATGATTTATTTTCTTTTAAATATACCCATGTGGTCTCACCATTTTCCACTCAAATTCAGAAAATATCTTCTCTGGTCAGGTCCTTCACCTGGAAGGATAGCTGTGTAGGTGAGTCTCCATAATTAAGAGAAGATGTGGCAGAGATCTTTAGAAGGCAGGAACTTGCTTTATGGTGATGACCACCAACCTATCTGCAACTTGTATTGAGATGCACGTAGATAAATATACAACTTTATTTTTCCCTGGGGCATTCCCAAGGTTACCCAAGGAAGTTGTGGCTGCTCCTCCCTGGAAGTGTTGAAGGCCAGGTTGGATGAGGCTTTGAGCAACCTGGTCTAGTGGAAGGTGTCCCTGCTGCTGGCAGGGGGGTTGGGACTGGATGAGCTTTAAGGTCCCTTCCAACCCAAACCATTCTATGATTCCAGCTTTCTCCTTTGTCTCCCTCTTTGGGGCAGGGTGCTCATGGCCATTTGTGTCACTGGGCTTGTAAAAATATTTTCACTGAAATATTTTTAGCTGAAATACTGATTTCCCCAAGCTTATAACTTTTGTTAACTTTAAAAAAACTTAATGAAGGGTTTGTTTTTTGGGTTTTTTTTTTTTTTTTTGTGGTTTTGGGGGTTTTTTTAAGGCTAAATGTTTGCCAGGAACAGAAACACTCAACCTTATAAACAGCCTAACCATCTGTTGGCCACGATGTTCATCTGGGATTTTGAGAAATCTGGGTGTGAAGTTGTAGCCTAACAAATTCATTTATTTATTTTTTATTACTGCAGGGCAGATCCAACCCTACGGTGGTGGGTGGCCCCTCACAACCATGAGGGAATAGGAGCTCGACCTTGGAGCAGACAAATCCACGGTGACCAGTCTATTTCTGACTGATAGTTGGGCAGTCTCTCACTCTCCAAATTTGAAAGGTTTTGTGTGGTTTGGTTTGGTTTTGGTTTTGGTTTTGGTTTTTTTTGTCCCAACGTAGAATAGGCAAAATGCTTTAAATCACTTTTCATTCTGACCAAAGAAACAATTTCCTACCAGCTCAACCCTGAACAATAGAGCCTTGATCTTGATCGGGGGGCTCTAGATGTTACTGTAATGCTAATAGGTGGTGTGGTCAGCCTTTGGGCTTCTGGCACATTTCAGGCACTATTTAGGGAGTCTGTAATCAGCTGCAGAAAAATTCCCTTCTGTCTCTCTCCTAGCAACCCCTTCTGAACTGATATTTCAAAATAAGCTTGCTTTTCAAATCATCATCTAAATATTTTCGATGCTTACTGTCATTAAAATTCTCTTAGTAGTCTTGGGATTAAGATAATTTATCTTCAGGTCCTCAGGACTCTCTTCTAGTTTTTGTGGTTTTAAGGTAAAGCTTTTGAACTTCTTATCAGTTGGAAACCTGACTTGTATCCAGATTTTTCCTCTTTTCTCTTGACTTTTACACTGGCTATATTTGACACAAAATCAAATTAGTATCCTGAGATGATAAGGAGATAAAAGTAGCAAGGTTGTAAGTAACCCAGGAGCAAGCTGAGAGTCTTGAAAGGGATTTGGTTGTATTTTTATTAAATATTTTAGCCTGCGTGATGTGTTACAGGCTGGTTCTGTAGCTCTGTAATCTTGACCCCTGAAACAAAGCAGACTGCTCGTGCCAGTGTGAACCACTGGATTGCCACCAGAATCAAGAACTTTTAAAGTCTTGATCCATTAACTGCTCGTTCTTTTTCTGTAAATCTAAATAATAAGTGCAGTAAAGGAGAGTGTGGGCTTAGAGGAGTTTCTCTGGACAGAGGAGACTAAAACAAGGTGAAGGGTTTGTGGTCTTCCCCATAAATGCTGACTGCGTGTTTGAAGTCCTCAGCGCTCGCAGGAGCACTTTCTGCACAGATTTACATCAGCATCTGATGAAAGAGGTGGATGGGAATCCTGGAGGTGACCATAGCTGTCCTGGGAGCAGTGCACAGGGCAGTCTGGTCACCTTAACTGTGGAAGTTTTGCTCCTGGACTGGGCACTGGTGAGGCTGCAGCTGGAGCGCTGGGTTCAGTGTTGGGCCCCTGAGTCCAAGAAGGACATGGAGGTGCTGGAGCGTGTCCAGAGAAGGGAACGGAGCTGGGGAAGGGTCTGGAGCACAAGTGTGCTGAGTTCCCTTGTGGCTGAGGGAACTGGGGGTGTTGAGGCTGGGGAAAAGGAGGCTGAGGGGAGACCTTGTGGCTCTGTCCAACTCCCTGAAAGGAGGGTGTAGAGAGGTGGGGGTGGGTCTGTTCAACCAAGGACCACGTGACAGGACAAGAGGAAATGGCCCCAAGTTGTGCCCAGGGCAGTTGAGATGGGATGTGAGGAAGAATTTCTTTGCTGCAAGGGTTCTGAGGCATTGGAAGGGGTTGCCCAGGGCAGTGGTGGAGTCCCCATCCCTGGAGGGATGGAAGAGGTGTGTAGACATAGTGCTGAGGGACATGGGTTAGTCGGGGCCTTGTCAGTGTTGGGTTCATGATTGGACTTGATGAGCTTGAAGGGTTTTTCCATTTGAGGCAATTCTGTGATTCTTCTCCATATTCTTGATGCTCTTTTCCCGGGGCTTTCTGAAACTGTACTCAGTTTGCTGAAGACCTGGAGAATTTCTCCTTCCTGGGAGCTACTTGGACTTGCTGGATCTGGCACCTGGTCAAGTCTAGTTTGGAATGCAGGAGGTCTTGTTGTGTGCCCTAGGCACAACTGGCTTCTTGTGGGTCTCCAAACTGGCAACTCTTTCTTGGATCTGAGACAGCTGATTAATTGCTGGCGTGTTTGGGATTCATTTGGGATTTGGTTGTAAGATTTTTGCCTTATGGAAAAAATTGTCTGAGCTGAGAAAATAGTTGGGTCAGAGCCTGCGTTCTTTCCTCTGAGATGCATTGCCATGAGCTGTGGTGGAGCTTTGTCTGGGAACCTGATCCAGAGGGACAGTCCTCCAAACAAGTTGAGTCCTTTCTGCTGCTCCCCATGCTTTCCCCTCGTGCTGCTAGAGGGTTCCCTGGTACTGCTTTGCAGGATGGAGAAACCGTGAGGTCTGCCTCAGGTTCTCGGTCTTCCTGGAGTCCTAGCTTGTGCAATAAATGTTTCCTTTTCTGAAGACTTCTTGGAGATGGAAAGAGCTCTTAGGGTGTAAATGTTTTTCTTTCTGTGGTTGCTCCACGCGCTTCCCTCGTTAATGCTCTCAATCATTTTGTTAGTGGGTGTCAGTTCCTGCCCAAGGAAGTTGTGGCTGCTCCTCCCTGGAAGTGTTCTTGGCCAGGTTGGATGAGGCTTTGAGCAACCTGGTCTAGTGGAAGATGTCCCTGCTGATGGCAGGGGGGTTGGAACTGGATGAGCTTTAAGATCCCTTCCAACCCAAACCAGTCTGTGATTCTATGATTCTATGATTCTGAGATTTCAACTTCATGGGCATCTCTACCTTTAAAGAAAACTTGGTGGAGAGGGGGGAAGAGAAGATGGTTCACCCCACTCGTGGTAGAAAGTGGGTTCTCATATGTAATTCACATTATTCTCAGGGAAGAAGACTTCCCCAGCTCCCTCAGCTCTGCTAATGCATTTCCAGAGATTTCCCCCGTGTTGATATAAGCCCTTTTATTGCTGAAATTCACTTTGTTTTCAGTCTGTCCCCAAACTCTTGTATCACGTTAATAAATAATGCGATTGTTCCCAAATGCTGCATCCACATCCCAATCCGTATCCCTTTCAGGAACCTAACTCACTTATTGGGGCTTTTTTGTTTGTTTGTTTGGGGTTTTTCTGGTAAGAATTTTAAGTCCTTGCCACAACAGGGAGAATGATCAAATCTGGCACCACTTTGCTTACAAATAATGTTGGTTTTTTTTAACTTAGAAACACTAGGACTGAGTCTGAGCACGGAAAGCTCTGCTTTAATTTATGGTCGGTATTAACTTGTGGAGCCGAAGAGCGTATAAGCTGCAGCTGCTCAGGAGCTTACTCTGGAAATCAGGCTGTGTGAGCTGGTTTTTATTAAGTGGTACTTGATTTAGTTGTAAGTAAAACCATTTGTATTTAACCTGATCCGCGAAGCCGCTGTGAGTGTTAACACACTTCAGTATTAAACGCTTCACTCTTGGGCATCGTCATGCACGGTGGGTTTGTCTAAGAGCCCATTTCTGAACGTGGAATAGTTATCGGTTAGATGGATGTGGGTGTTTTCAAAGGAACTTAAACTCAGTCAAGCCCATATTTCACAGAATCACAGAATGATCAGTGTTGGAAGGGACCTCAGGAGATCATCCAGTCCAACCCCCCTGCCAAAGCAGGTTCCCTCCACCAGGTTGCACAGGAAAGTGTCCAGCTGGGTTTGAACATCTCCAGAGATGGAGACTCCACACCCTCTCTGGGCAGCCTGTCCCAGGGCTCCAACACCCTCACAGGAAAGAAGTTTTTCCTTCAGTTTGTCTGGAACTCCCAGTGTTCCAGTTTGTGCCCATTGCCCCTTGTCCTGTCACTGGGCACCACCGAGAAGAGCCCGGCCCCATCCATTTGGCCCCCACATTTCAGATCTTTATAGACATGGATCAGATCCCCTCTCAGGCTGCTCTTCTCCAGGCTGAACAGTCCCAGCTCTCTCAGCCTCTCCTCGTCAGGCAGATGCTCCAGGCCCCTCATCATCATTTAAAACTTACTGTCACGTTACTGAGCGATGTGAAAAGATCTGGTGATCTGTCTGTCTCTTGACATCAGGTCTGAAGGCACCTGCCATACTTCAGTGCTAAGCTACTTCTCTGCAAACCCGCAGGGATGTAGCTTTTCCCAGAGATGTCTTTTAGGACAGAAATCACTTGTACTTGGGGCAGTAAAGGCATCGATCTGCCCTTTGTGAGCTGCTCTTGGGTGACTGCCAGGTGCAGTCAGCTACTTGCCATTTCACTGTAGGACAGAGCAGCTTATGCTGAACCAAGAAAACTCTTTGAGCCAAAACAAACCACTATAAACTTTTCTCCCTCCCCATGAGAATGAGGAGAAGAAGGTTATTGCATCCAAACTCTTTTGGAGTTAGCTGTGTGGGAAAACTCTGTCCAATCTGGAGTCATTGTACTTGAGGAACTGTAATAAATCCTGATGGACCCTGCAGATGGGACTTGGATCTCCTGCATGCAAGGACGTGCACAGACTACCAGGAGAATTGAATTGGCACTTCTGGATCCAGGAACCTCTTCTCTAAAAGAAACTTGTGTGATGCTCCTTAAGCAGCCTTCACGGATCGTTACGTGCCATCAGGGATTCAACCTGAGCTGAGAATTATTTATTCTTGGTGGTAGGTCCCAAGTAGTTACATTCCTGGTGGGTCAGGAATAGTTGAGTGTGTATCTGTGTCCCAAGGCACACGGGTGCCTGTTTGCTCAGTGCCATGAAGGTGCAAAGGAGTCGGTATAACTGCTGCAAAGCAGAGAGCATCCTGGGCAAACCTTGTGCCTTGAAAGCAGAAAACCTTTTGCATCAGAGTGAAGAATCTTGGTTGTAAAAGGAGAACTGGCTTCAGTTCCTCTTAGCTTGAGTGTTTCTGCCAAGCTCGCTGCTGTGATGTTAAAGATCTTTTATTAGATCTTCTGTGCTGTTGCCCCCTTCCCTCAAATGGGAGCAGCCTCTGTGGTGCAGAGCTGAAGCAGTCTCAAGTTCAGGTGGGAATAAACCTTTGGATTTTCTCCTCCTCTGTTTTGGGGGGTTTTTTGCTGGTTTTTTTTGGTTTTTTTTCCCAATGCTTCCCTCATAATTCATATTAAGATTATTGATTAAAGGTAATTGCTGTAGGATATTATTCACAATCCATTAATCTTGATTTATAGCAGAATTCTTCAGCAAGCTGGGGTGCTGAAACATCACCATTAATTATCTTAACTGAGCGTTACTTGAAATGAAGATTTCTTGCCTTTCCATTTGTATTCTTTCTGCCCAAAGTGCCACTGCTTTGATTGATTTATTTATCTATTTAAAATGTTGAGAAATACAGTTGTTCTTTTCACACTGTAACGCTGCCTCATCATCTCACCCTTCTGCCATCTCTCCGAAGACACCGAGTTTTTTGGTCTTGTAAGTCAAATTAACATGAGATTGCCGCAATTTGCATCGTAGCTGTGGGAGGCCATCTGACAGCACCAAAGGCAGCCAAGGAGAATCGAATTCATCAGCTCTCACATTTGTCAGTGGGGACTGGGGTGAATTCTGCTCCTCTCATCTGAGCAGGAGAGTAAACATTTCACGTGAGTAGTTGGCAAGGGTGACTTTCTGCTTTGGGGCTCGTTTCCTGAGCGTTGGAAAGGAGAGAGGTCTCCCTGAGTCCTGGTTTCATCTCTGAGCATGAATCTGACCCCATGAATCTTGGGGTTCATGTCTGTGTGTGGTGAGGCTTTGGAGCTGTTTCTGGATTTTTAACTCCCTTCCACAGTCCAAATATGTTTCCAAATGTGTTGCTGGTAGGGACTCAGCATTTTCTTAAATGAGAGCTCACGCTCTGCAGAAGTAGATGGAAAACATGAAGCGTCTCTGAGGGGAAGGGAGGCATCGTCTCAAGATTGCTCAATGCAGGGGGAGGGATTCTTCAGTGTGTAGAATTGGTTTTTACTCACGTCATTGTGGTGGTGTGGTCACTTAGATGTGTCAAGACGCTTAAATTGCATGTTGTAGGATATTGCATGTTGTAGTCCTACAGGAAAGCTGGGGAGGGACTTTTTACAAGGGCAGGTAGTGATAGAGCAAGGGGAAATGGGTTGAAACTGGAAGAGGGAATGTTTAGATTAGATATTAGGAAGAAATTGTTTGGTGTGAGGGTGGTGAGACAGTGTCCCAGGTTGGCCAGAGAAGCTGTGGCTGCTCCTCCCTGGAAGTGTTTGTGGCCAGGTTGGATGAGGCTTTGAGCAACCTGGTCTAGTGGAAGGTGTCCCTGCTGCTGGCAGGGGGGTTGGAACTGGATGATCTTTCAGGTCCCTTCCAACCCAAACCATTCCATGATTCTGTTATATTTTGAATACTTGGTTTTAAGCTATTTGGTTTGACAGGCTTCTAGCAAGTTACCTGTATCTGAGTGAATGGGTTTTGATTCTCTGAACTAAATGTTTTCCTTTACTTGCTGTATCAGTATTGAGAGCAAACACGAAGTCACAATCTTAGGAGGACTCAATGAATTTGTTGTGAAGTTTTATGGACCACAAGGAAGTAAGTATATGACCCAGCCCTTCTATAAAAACAAACTAATGGCTCATGGTGGGGAACAGTAATATGACACATTCATCTGGAGTGGAAGAAGAGATGAGCAAATCTAAGTAGGGGTGAGAAATCAAAGGGTGACAGTGTTTGAAGGCTGAGCTCTCAAGGGCAGGGAGAAATACAGCTGTGACTATTAATGCAGAGGAACCACCTCCCTTGGAGCTGAGCAGAGGTGGATACTGCCTTCAGACAACTCAACCCTCTGCTATGGCCTTCAGACCACTCTTCTTCATCCTTAGCTTTTCTAAACCTGGCTCATAAGTTTTGCATCAGTCACCTGAATTTTTGCAGAGTTTGTAATTAAGATGACTTTTCTAGTGACTAGATCACAAGTCAGGTCTCCAGCGTGCCTAAATTTAGTAACATCTCCAAAGGTAAGGAGATTATTTTAAAGTCTCTGTTTTTAATAAAGCTCTTGTGTTTTTTGTGCCAGGATCATCTGCAGTATCAGTTAAAATCATGTATTTCTTGTCAGGCAGCACAGGAAAAAGACTTTTACCGTAGGAGGTTTGATATGAAATCTTACCCCCTGATGGAACTAAGTATTCTTCCAAAGATGTGTTTTGCTTAATGCTCTAGTTCTATTTATATTCCTCTGAGTTATGAAGTGTCTAATACCTGCTTTTTCTTTTCTTGCAGCACCATATGAAGGTGGAGTATGGAAAGTTAGAGTCGACCTTCCTGATAAATACCCATTCAAATCCCCGTCTATAGGTAACCAATGATCACTTTCAGTCAAAATGGTTTTACTGGTTATGCAGGAGAGATGTTACTGTTTGCAGCATCATTGCAGGTGAAGTTGATCCAACCCTCAGTGCAATCATAAGGTCTTTATTTCAAATCTGTGCAACATTCTTGCCATAGACTTCCAAATATTACATGACATGCAAGGAGGAAGCTTGGTCTTCTGGCTGAAGGGGTAGGAGCTGACAATGTGATTTGGTCACATGTTTGTGTGTTGATGAACTGAGTCTCTCTACCATGTGATTATTTATTTATTTTTAATAATTTATCCATTTGTGGGTAAGGTGCAGGATTCCACAGTGAGTGCTGGAGCCTGGTTATGTAAAATGACTCATGTAGTGTGGAGAGCAAAGACCACACTGTGTGTTCATGGTCTTGGGGTGAATCTAACCGTTGGGACTTCTTGTCCAGAAGAGGATGGAGGCGAAGGCAGGAGCTGAAACCTGTGTCCTCTTGGACTAGGTGATGCATATATGGAAGAACATAAAAGGAGAGAAAAGGAGGCTGATGTGAGAGCTTCCCACTCTCTACAACTACCTGAAAGGAGGGTGTAGCAAAGTTGGGATTGGTCTCTTCTCCCAAGTAACAAGCAATAGGACAGGAAGAAACGATCTCAGGTTGCACCAGGGTTGGTTTAGGTTGGATATTAGGAAAAAAATTCTTCACCAAAAGGATTGTCAAGTATTGGAACAGGCTGCCCAGGGAAGTAGTGGAGTCTCCATCCCTGGAGTTATTTAGAGGACATGTAAATGTGGTGCTTAGGGACATGGTTTAGTGGTGGACTTGGCAGTGTTAGGTTTATGGTTGGGCTCGATGATCTTTAAGGCCTTTTCCAACCAAAATGATTCTATGATAAAAGCAGGAATCCATCACCAGAAAAATTGCAGTTGGTTAGACTGGTCAGGCTTGTTTAACCTTTGAGAGCAAGTAGGAAGTTGGATAAGGAAATGTTCTTTAGACTCTGTCCATCCTATGTTTGTTCTTGGGTAACGGTGATCTGACTTGGATGTCTTCTGGTACCTGATTTTATTCCAATCACTTAAACTCTAAATGAAATAGCCAATATTGCTTGAAAAACTGAAGCAGATGTATAAAGTTCCAACATCTCTATTCTGCCTTGTGAAATAAGCGTTGGTAACTCAGTGACATGACTCTTCTTTGTCAGAAGGGTGTGCTTGTGGTTCTCAAACCACTTGAGAACTCTAAAGAATGGAGAAAACAGCCCGAGGAGAACTGATGTGGAAACTTGACTATATGGGTTGGACAAGATGGGTCCTTTCCAATATCAACATCCTGATTTGGAGTTGATAAGTATTGGCTACTTTCTTAAAATAGATTCTTAGGCTAAGAGTGCCTTCTGTTTAAGATCACTCTCTGGTGTGAGAAATAATCTGTCTAGTTCCAAATATGAACTGTGCCTTTTGGGAA